GTTGATGTATAAATTATGGATGATTCCAATTCATTACAAATATTTCTTATCTCGTTGCTGCCGCAGCCAGGTCGCCTGAAACTGGGATGTCACACTGATAGCTTGTTTACATTTCCTGGAGCATCAAATCTTATGTTTAACCACGGTGGTTTAACCCATTAGCTGGCAATTCCCTTGTCCAGCGCCAGAAGATTTTACTCGTCAGTGGTATAGAGGACTGCTAGTAAATGGGTTAACAAAACTCTTGTTAATTCATCAGCACAGTATAATGACCCCTACTTTAGTATTTACCCTGACCAACGCCAGACGATTTTTAATACTCAGCCAGTCGTAGGGTACTGTCAATAAATGGGTTAACAAGGATAACAATAATAGGATGTTTCTGAAGAACTCGTTCAACACCCTGTAGTTTGTCTTTTGCTGTCAAAGGCAGCATTACTGCCCTGTGGGTAACCTAGTTATATAGCTAGTGTGAACACCAAACGTGATTGGCTAATTTGTAGTCACGTGGCTTTAGATAAATGCAATGTATCCCGCATGGGCAATAAGTGACAAATTGTTGCCCGCCCCGACCGGCTACGTACATAAATAAACAAAATGGCGACACAAATTTATGCTATTTAAACTACTGTTTTCGTGGCTTTGTGTTAAAATAAATAATGTAAAAGAGAAGAAAAATACATAACAGGCAACAGGATATGCTGCTGAAACCATTTAAGTAGGTTTTCTAAATTTTAAACTCGTTTACGCTATAGAGTTTTTGTCATGAAATACAAATATTGTTGTATGAATGTTGTTCAATGTTGATATTTGTTTCGTCGCTATATAACAAAACACTTAACGTCTTTTCCCTCGGGAAATAGTTTTGTTTTGCCTCGAATCTCAATGGTTCCCTCGACTTCCTCTCGGGAAACATTGACATTCTCGGGAAAACAAAACTAACTATTTCCCTCGGGTGCAGACATTAAGTGTATAATTACTTTATTTTATTACTATTGTAGTTCATGTAGAGTGGCTCGTGAATTCAAACACTTTTAAAAAATTGGCAGTTAAAATTACTTTTGGAGTAAATAAAACAGAATTTACACCGGCGATGTCGGTTTGGTACATTTCGATACATTAGTGATGTGATGCAATTCACTAGAACAAAACATTTTGACTTGATACTGCAGTTTAGATGTCGTTACTCAACAGATTATTTTTACGTATTATAATGAACGGAACTCAAAAATATATTTATATATCAAAAGGAAGACAATACCATCTTAGGTCCAAACATTACAATAAATTTCAAAATCATACATATTATGACCAGCTATATATGAGCGAATATATGTTTCAAAATTGCAACGGCTCACGGCTGAACAGTATAAAAGTTTACAAATTGACAATAACAAACTCTTAAATTAAACTATGAAAATATATCACAATACAAGCTAGATTGAATTGTAGTTTGTAGTCTGCTGTAAAACTCATAAAAACCGATAAAAGCAACGTTTGTAGATCGAGTAGTAAGTTTCATAAATACATAAAGCGACATGTATTTAATAGGATACATAATTTGTCAAAATGAGTATTTTCAAATTGATCTAGCCTGCGTGCAGGCCCAAGGGAACTTGATAGTGGGCCTGCAACCATCGCCCGGTATTTTGAAATACGCCCCTTTTCATAACACGCCCCATTCGCGCGTCAATTGTCAAAAAAGAACCAATGACAGCACCCAAATATTAACAAACAAACTCGCATTAAAATGTTGCGGGGTTTTCTCTGCTTATTCAGAACACTATTAAATAAACAATGTGTAAATGGCTGCGTTTTAACTCCAAAAAAGCAAGCAACGCAGTCAGTAATTGCCAAATTTGCAAGTGCTCATTTTCAACTAAAATCGGAACAGGCAAATTAGGACGAATTTCAACAGAAAACCAGTCTCAAACTTCAAATCATGAGGGAAGTTGGGCGACCACATTAGGATTTATATTATAAAATGTTATAAATAAATTGTCTCACTTATCAGATCGTGTGTGCAATTCTTGTTGGCGGCGGAAAGTACGAAATTTATTTCATTTGGTAAAGAACTCTACAAAAGGAGAGAGCGTTCCGAGTCCAGATCGTTTCGTTTCAAACGGCAATTTAATACCGCCTTCTGTTTCGCTCTCTCTGCGAAGCCTTGTAAATCGCAAAGTGTTTCGAATAGGCTTACAGTTCTTACATGCAACTGCATCTCAACATCAACCAAAAGATAATTTTCTTGAGGAAGTGAGAACACATAACGTATCAACTGAAGTCTGTTTGAAATTAATGAAACTCAAGTAAAGGTTACTATAGTTTACCCCAGTCGTAATGTTGCTATTCCAGCACCTCACGACAAGCAATCCCCATTGGCATAACGGCAAAAACATGTCTTCCTTCAAGTAAACAATAAACAGTCTGTTCTTGTTCCATTTGTAATCGAAAAAAGTGATCAATTTTCAAATTTTAAGCTTATCGAGAGCCTTTGTCTATGATGAATCACTGTTCCCTGCACGTGGGCTAGGTTAATTAATTACCGATCGCCTCAGCTAGCCAATGGGAATTTAGCCGGCGGTTCGGCCGGCGAAAATCGAAAACATGGGGTGATGGTTGCAGGCCCACTATAAAGTTCCCTTGGGCCTGCACGCAGGCTAAAATTGATCGGGTATAGCTACTGTATTATTTAGAGAAAGATCATCACGTGCATGGGTTTGTATCCATGCTCTTCGACTTGTCAAGGCAGATATCCAATGAGAAAACCTGCCAAAACATATCAACGATTTCCAGCTGTTCAATTTTTAGATTAAATTAAAACCCAAATTCACATGCGCACTCTTTCAAATTTTTACGCTAATATACGCTTTTATTGATAGCGTATGAACATTGCGCCACAATGATTGATGCATATTTTGGCGTACATTATGATTTCAACCAATAGGATTTTTGAGTCCGCTCACGGCCCCGAAATGCCAAATTTCCTTGAGATTGTTGCAGGCTCTCTTTATTCCTTGAGCCTGCCACGCAGGCTACTTCATACATATAGTTCCATATATTTTTTGCATACTTATTTTTTATCACATGGTCGCTGTATTTACATTAGAGAGGTTAAGATACCCCGATTCTGGTTTACGGGTACGGGTGATATACACGTACCCGTAAACGGGGTTTAACTTGTAACTTAAGAAATCCAAGTACTCCGGCGTGAGAAAACCGATCAGAGAATGGCAATTTTCGCTGTTGAGGTTCGCCATAAATTGTTGAATACTTTGACCAGCATATGTGCATTATTTATTTGGGTAAGATGTTGAAAATTTGTACTATTTAAGCGGCCCAAAAATAGTAAACAGAAAACACCCGTACCCGTTTGTCGTTTACGTGTAGACCACGGTTTACCGCGGAGAAACGGGTAGAAATTACTGGTAAAATTACTGACATCAGCAAAAATTGGTAAACAAAATGGCGATACTTGTACCCGTAAACCGGAACCGGGGTATCTTAACCTCTCTATTATATAAAAGCACCCATGTTTCCCCAGAGGAAAGAGCCTGGGAACACGGTTGATGTTTCCCCACACATTCCATGCCTTCAAGTTCTTTGTTGTATTTTTTCAGGTAATTAAATCGCTCAACCAAACTCACAAACTGCATTTAACCATGTCTAGTCACCGTGGAAAGACATCAGACAGCTTAGTAAAACACAAAAAAGCACACTCGGGAAACAAGTCATATGAATGTGATTTTTGTAAGAAAAGATTTACACACTCGTGCAACTTGGTGAGCCACAGAAAAATACATACCGGAGACAAACCTTATGAATGCGATGTTTGTAAGAAGAGATTTAGAAAGACTGGGGAATTGGTGAGTCACAGAAGAACACACACTGGAGAGAGACCTTATGAATGCGATATTTGTAAGAAGAGATTTGGACTGTCATGCAACTTGGTGACCCATAGAAGAACACATACCGGAGACAAACCTTATGAATGTGATGTTTGTAAAAAGACATTTAGAGAGTCTGGGCAGTTGGTGGGTCACAGGAGAACACACACTGGAGAGAAACCTTATGAATGTGATATTTGTAAGAAGAGGTTTGGACTGTCATGCAACTTGGTGACCCATAGAAGAACACATACTGGAGACAAACCTTATGAATGTGATGTTTGTAAGAAGAGATTTAATGAGTCTGGCACCTTGGCGAACCACAGAAGAACACACACCAGAGACAAACCTTATGAATGCGGTGTTTGTAAGAAGAGATTTGGACACTCGGCCACCTTGATGTACCACAAAAGAATGCACACGGGACACAAACCTTTTGAATGTGATTTTTGCAAGAAAGCATTTGCGCACTCAGGCAACTTGGCGAAACACAGAAGAACGCACACTGGCGAGAAACCTTATGAATGCGATGTTTGTGAGAAGAGATTTGCAGAGACAAGCAGCTTGACGAAGCATAGAAGAACACACACTGGTGAGAAACCGTATGAATGTGAAATTTGCAATGTGAGATTTGCAGAATCGGGGACTTTAGCTGCGCACAAAAGAACGCACACTGGAGAGAGACCGTATGAATGTGATGTTTGTAAGCAAACATTTCCACACTTAGACACCTTGAGAAACCATGCAAGAATACACACTGGAGACAGACCATATGAATGCGATCTTTGCGAGAAGAGATTTAAAAAGTCCGGCGCCTTGATCAAACATAGAAGAACACACACTGGAGAGAAACCTTATGAATGTGATATTTGTGAAAGGAAATTTGCACAAGCAGGACAGTTAGTTGTACACAAAAGAACACACACTGGAGACAGACCATTTGAATGTGATGTTTGTAAGATGAGATTTTCACAGGCAGGAACTTTAGCTGTACACAAAAGAATACATAGCAGAGATAAACGTTATGAATGTGCTGTTTGTAAGAAGAGATTTGAACAGTCACGCTCCTTGGTGCAACATAGAAGGACAAACACTGCATGCGATGTTTCTAAGAAGAGAGTTGCGCATAAACATAAAAGAACACACAGTAGCGATAACTGCGATAATGAATGTGATATTTGCAAGAAAAGATTTACAAGAAAGTCTTCGCTTACTTACCACAAAAAGCATCATTTGTTGTGCAACACTTGCAGCAGAGAGATTGTTCAACCGCAAGATTTGAATGAACAGTTTTTCGTGTTTGAACACAATAGAAAATATAGCTGCAGTAAATGTGATAAACTATGTGTTAATTTCACGAAATTGGTACGACATATTTCAAGGGAACATGGCAGTGATGGAAACTATCAGTGTGGTTCATGTCAAGAACTTAAATCAACAGAACCAACTGGTGTTGGATATGTTTGTTGTGTGTGTGATGTTGTGTTCGATATTCCCGGACAACTTGAAGATCACATGGCCAGTCATGACACGATCTCGGCTCATAACTAAATTTAACTGTATTTTTTTTGTATTCTTGTTTGTTTCGACACGGTAGTTCATATCTGCAAGCATTAGCATAAGAGTTGTCGTTGTCCCAGTAAAATGTGTCATTAACTGACTTCATAATGCAGGGAAAGTGATTTCAGATTTAAAACAAATTACGGGCAAGCGTTCCCCCAAACCCTTCCTCTTGAAGTCTGGCTGATTGGATAAAATCTCCAGCCATTCTGACTTGCTTCGCCCAGGCGTCTGTTTGTAAAAAACAGTGATGCGCATATGATGAGTTTACATGAAGTATTGTTGTGGCGTGAGAAGGACGAAGGGGCTCATTCCCTTCCCAACAGCCCCTGCTGCCCGAATACTTCATGCATTATAATTATTTAAAGCGCCTGGGTACGAGGCAGCATTTTATCAATGGAATTTGAATCTCTGTTGTGAAAGAAATGGCGTTTCGTAGTTTGAAAACAACAGAACCCAACTGACCCAACTGAAAACCTACCCCAAATATGACAAATAAAACAATGATAAATATCCAGTGCGTCACTAATTTTGAGATCAGTTAATTTAAGACACGTGCCTGCGCGTTCTGTTTCAGCGGTTATCACAACTCAAATGAGGTTGGATATTGTTTAGCGCAATAGCTAAGCGAAAGACTTGCACTATTTTATAATACTACTCAACCAAGTCGACAATTTTGTTCGATAGAAGTTTTTCCGGAGAAGAAATAGAAAGTCAAAGGGAGGATCTTAGATCTAAAGTAAGTAATTTTTTTGAAAATGTGCCGTTCATTCGATGACAATTAAGCAAGAGGGTATTAAATATCACCTATATTATTAAAGTATGCTGTATACATTCGGATACATAATAACATTCCATAATTTTTGCCCGCCACATTTTTTCGCCAACATCCATAGGGCCTGTTCATATGACATTTTTATATGTTTTTGAGATTTGATTCACATGAGAACCTGTCTGGTCAGATCTGCTGAGCTCTCATTTATTGAGCGAGGCAAGACCTCGCCTTCCCAGGCTCATGACCGGGGCTCATATGAACATTGTGTCACAAGGCATGCTTTATTTCATTTATAAAGCAACTAAAAATTCAAAACATGTAAGAAGTCAACACTGATTAAAACGTCTGAAACAGTTTGCGTCAATAAAAATAGCATTTTGCAAAATTGAAAGAAATATTGCATTCCTGCAAAATTGCAGGTTAGCCCAGTACTTCATGTGAAACCGAATAGAAACTTGTCCCAGCAAAGCGAGCTAGCCCAGTTTAATGGGCCAGCCCGGTGTCCCAGTTGATTTGGACCCCTGGTCCATATCCACTAGTAGATTTGGACCCCCCCCCCCTGGGGTCCAAATTTACTAGTAAATACGGACCCCCATTGGCGGATTTGGACCCCCCTTCAAAAGTTAAATATATGTAATGTGAACACAACAATATATATGTTCATAATAGCGATCAATCTGAAGTGTTTTATACTTTAAATATATTTGTGATAAAGCCACGAAACGTAAAAATATAGAAAAATAGAATACAGTGTGACTAAAATTTATGTATTGTCTTTTTAAACAATCACACCTCTTGGCCATGCATGCAAAGCAACCTCCCGTAAGCTCCCTTGTTCTGAAAGGGTTCGAGGGAGCTAGCAACTCCTTTAAATTGCTTGATCTTTTATATGAAACACGAATAGCACCTTCCGGCAGAATTTGTCTAGCTTGCTCATCGTTATCAATAATACTTCTTTGTTTACGATTATCTTACCAATATCCGGCGCCCAAGGATTGAACTTGCTAATAAAAGCGCAAGGTCTACCCTCGTTCCTACGTTTACTCCTACGCGCCAGTGGCGTAGCC